GAGTGTGCGCGTATTCTGTGCGCGTGAGCGCGTTGTGCGTGCGCGTGTGGCGTTGTGCGTGGGTGCGCGTGTGCGCGTGTGCGCGTGTGCGCGTGTGCGCGTGTGCGCGTGTGCGTGTGTGTGTGTGTGTGTGTGTGTGTGCGTATGTGTGTGTGTCGGTGGGTGGGTGGGTGGGTGGGTGGGTGGGTGGGGTGTGTTTGTGTGTGTGCGTGTGTGCGTGTGTGCGTGTGTGTGTGTGTGTGTGCGGGGGAAGAGGAGGAAAGGTGGTGGGCATGCGGACTGTAGGGGCCCGCAATGCTCATGCGGCCCACTGGGCACGGAGGGCCCGCAGGGCCCGCAAGGCTCATAGAGCCGCTCACAGGGCTCATGAGGATCATGCGGTTTCTATGTCTGTGCATATACCTACACATACACAGATGCATGTACGTGTACAACATGTAAGTATCTAATACAGATGCGTTGTTGTGTAAGGAAACTGATATGTTATGTATGTGCATGTACATATGCATACACATAGACATGCATACATATACGAATACGTAAGCGTATTCATATACAGATACTTATACACAAATATATATATACACATTTATGCATATACATATATATATATATATATCTATATATATAAATATCCACATGCATATACATATATACAAATACACATATATATATATATACACAAAGGCATATACACATACATGTGTGTGTGTGCGTGTGCGTGTGTATGTATACGCATAGAACCATCGCGCGCGCTTCGCGCGAGACCAGGTTCGATCTGTATTGAGCGCGAGGGTCTAACGCGGAAGCATGACCCTGCCCGAATATCAGGATTCCAGATATTCGACGCCAGCGCGTTCGCTGCTGACGGGGGTGCACGGTCAATCAAATAAGAGAACACATGTTCGCATCTGGATATGACTCCACCCGCTTGTCAACAACATCATCAGAACAGGATGCAGGTAACACGGGAAAGTGGTCACCTGGCAAACTTTCGCATATGTCTCCCACTGTGTATCCCCTGCTTCCACCGTTTCGATGTCTGTTACTGGCCGGAAGTACGAATCTGCGATGTACCATCCATAACCAGCACACGAAATATCTTCTGAACATCGTGCCTGCATTTCAGACTCAGAAATGTACAACCTCCCGTCAGAAGTTGCACCAAGGCACATCGCAGAAGTGGTATCCGAAACACCGCAGCATGTTCCACATCGACGATTTGTCCCAGAATCCTGGGGATATCCCACACCTTGCGACTGGTAGCTGCAAGCCTGCGTCGAAACCGTCCAAACGGGCGTGCCACTACAGGTGAGCCGCGACCGGTCAAAGCGTCCAAGATTGCCCGAATGAGCTTCAAGATTGCCCCAGATAGCCCAAGATGGCCTCCAAGGCGGCACCAGATGGCTCAAGATTGCCTCCAACAGGGTTCTCAGATACGACTGCCCCGACACGATTCGAAGTGGCCACGGAGCCCCACAAGAATACTCCTGGGAAGTAACACGTCATCGAACACTTTGCAAACGAAAGCTCCAACCCTCTGCAGCTGCGTTGGCGCAAGGGGCGGCCCTCTCCTCGGGTGTGCCGAAATGAACGGGACAGCGCATGTGGGCGCCCCCGCCGGTGCCGCAGGCGGAATCCCACCACCCTCCCTCTCGCCCTCTGTCTATCCACATATTTCTTGCCACTCGAACCCCTCCTTGAAGCCTCTTGGGGGCGCCTCTTGGGGCCTCCTCTGTGGCCTGTTGAGGGCGCCTCGGGAGCCTCTTTGGGGGCCTCTGCGCCGCTCTCCTCGGGGCTTTCGGGATCCTCTTGGGAGCGTCTTGGGCGCCTCCAGTAGGCTCTTTGCACAGCCTCGGGGGGGGGGTCCCTGGCCATCCCTCGGACGTCCATTCCCTGTGCTTTTTGTTCCGGTTTCGCGCGTGTTTTTTTCGCCAGATGGTCGAGGATGCTCCTCGAAGGTCCTCGCCGAAAGAACATTGCCCAAGGCGTCTCCGCCCCTGGTGGGGTGATGTGACTAGATGCGGCGGCTTGTTTTCCATGATCTGGCGTTCGGGGTCCCAAGTCAGATGGCAACCCGCTTATTGGATGGGGAGGCCATCAGACTGAGGACACCCACCACTCCCGAATTATCGGCTCACCAGAAAGAACACGTTGGACGTGAGTCTCTGGGAAACAGGGCGGGTGGGGAAGAGACTCACCCACTCGAGCCAAAATGGCATACGGATCGTAAGGATATTACCCGAAAGACTCCGAGCCACGGCTCGCCACCCACAGCCCCGGCCACGACGCACGTGCAATGTTACGTTCACACATGCTGCGCTGCTCACATTCAACATTGCCCAAGGCGTCTCCGCCCCTGGTGGGGTGATGTGACTAGATGCGGCGGCTTGTTTTCCATGATCTGGCGCTCGGGGTCCCAGGTCAGAAGGCAACCTGCTTACCAGATGGGGAGGCCATCAGACTGAGGACACCCACCACTCCCACCTGAACTCAGCCAGACTCAGAAGCCGACCCTCCAGACACGGAGTCGCCACCTGAATCGTGGAGCAGCGCGCACCGATCACACCAGCAAGCCTCAGCTCCAGGTGGATCCGTGGACAACGCATGCGGGCGCAAGCCAAAATGCCAGCCGCACAATGTGCGCCACTCCGTGGGCGGGGTGCCCAGTCCAGCTTGTAGGACATAGTGCCATACACCTGACTGGGCATTGCGAACGTAGGACGGATGCAGCTGCCGCCGAATCGAAGCGATCTCGCGTCTCAACTTGTCTACCTGGTTTGGCGCATCACGCACATGCGTTTCCAGGATGTCCGTGAGAGACCTCGCAACTGCCCCGGGGACGCTGAGCTCCCATATATTTCGCCAGTTATGTTAACCAGCGGCACGTCGGCTACATACCTCAAGATCGCATTGGATCCCCAACGCGCGAAGATCTGTAGTTTGAACACCTCCAAACCATGGAGTGCCCAAAATCTGGAGCCCGACTCCCTAAAAGAGTGCCCACCGAAACGCCTACGCCCAACAGGATCCACTTATGTTGTAGCCTGCATCCACCAACGCTTTCTCCAGACCGCTCACAACACTTCGCTTGTCCACCAACATCCCCTGCGAGTCCGGGAAGAGCGGGAAAGCAGGAGGCAACGGCAGGCCCTTCCTAAACTTCGACTGGAGGATACCGAGGTACTCGACGAACACGTGGCATGGGCAAACACAACGTGGAAGGGCTTGACATAAACACCCCCACGACCTGGTAACTGCTTTAGCACGCGGATCTGTCTTGCTGACGGGCAAATGCCAAGCAATAGAAGATCTCTCAGGGTCCACCCTGATGTCACCGATGCACGCCAATGCAGCCTCGATTTCACGTAAGACCCACAAAGAGGCGAGAACAGCTAAGTAGCCCGGGAACGCCGGCTGCCGCGGGATAGCCACGATCTGCGGGCCGAGTGCCCGCGCAACATCATGGAGCTGGAAGTCCGCCGACCGCCGTGCGGGCCCGAGCCCGCGGTTCAAAGAGCGAGAAGCCTCCCGCGCCTCCAGATCTAGCTGCTGCGTCCAGTGGAAGCCAAGCCGAATGTGTTCTGCTTTTGCCCAAGATAAATAATTTGAAAATGACCTGAAGTCGTCCAGCTTCATCAAAGCAGCCACCGCCGCAAGTCCCTGATGGGGTGGGGGGCATGAAAGGCTGCCGAAGCTGAACGGGCGTCGCCGCCATGACCTTCTCGTGATACACACGCCACGCCGCCGCCAAAGATGCACGTGACGCCTGCGACGAAGCCGCAAACTTATCACGTTCGTAAGCGCCGATCGCCTCATGGAGGTCCGGTACATGGTCTGACGGCCGGCTGCTTTTGGGCGCGAGCTGCCTACCAGTGCGCAGGATAGGGGCGTCTCGGCGCCGCACATTATTGGTCCGAATGCGCTCCCCGTGGCCAGCAACTGCCGGCCCAAGTGGCGCTGCACCAGCATGGCCTACTGCCACTGCTGTGCGCAAGGCCGCAGAACTGGACGCGTTGGTGGAGACAGGCTGCACGCCCGCTGGAACAGCGGAGGGGGAGCCATCGGCGCGGCCGAAGCTCCCTCCATCCTGGACCCCCAGCGTGCCGTCCGCACCGCCCGGGCCTTGTACGGAGGGCCACGGTGGCCCCGCAGGACCCACCCGGCCAATACCTAAAGATCTCGCCCTCTCACTGTGCGAACGCCTCGCCATGTCCAGAGTCGGTGGGCCGAGGGCTCGCTTCCCCATCGCGCGCGGAGAGCCACAAGACCTCGGACTGGACTGGCTGCCTGAGCCAGGTGGAATGCACAATGCAGGAAGCACTAGGCATTGCACGCGGCTGCCTCAAAGCTGCGGACGCCTGCCGGGCTACGAAATCCCCCCCAGAAGCGCAAACACTAGCATGCAGTGCGCACCCGCGCCCAACCCCCACGCCACCTGGAAGAGAAGCTGGAGAGGAGGCGGGGGCGGGAGGTAGCAGGGGAAAGGAGGCAAAAGACAAAGACAAGAGCACCACAGGAATTACCCAATACAAAGAGCACTACGGAGGGAGGGGCCCAATTCGTCAACACGCGAGTTAACACGACCCCGGGAGGTCCTGGAATCACACTGTCCAGACACCCCGGGGGGGGCACGATGCGTTAACACACCCCTCGGGTCCTGGAGCCATACTTTGCAGACACCCCGGGGGGGGCACGATTTGTTAACACACCCCTCGGTTCGTAGAACCACACAGTCCAGACACCCCGGGGGGGGGCACAATTTGTTAACGCACCCCTTGGCACGCTCATGCGACACCGCTGGCCACGCCGAATCAGTCGCCGCTACTCGGGCCAGCCGCGCTGCCGCCGACGCGCCCCCATTCACCCCCTCTTCTCGGGCACGTCGGAAGCCGCGAGCGTGATGTAATAGCTCTTGTCGAGTTCAAGTACTACGATGTGCTCCACGTGCTGGTATCCGGGCTGGGGACGGCGGGAAAGCATGTCCGCCGCGACGTCGGCTACCCCCGGGATGTGCTCGGCGAGGGCGGGCACGAAGACCGCCTGGGTACTCCACCGCGACCTCCATGCCTATCAGGCCCAGCTGCGGGCCGAAGGTTGACGATCAGCGACAACATGGTCATGGAATTGCCTCTGATCCGCAGGGTCAGCGAACGCTGACCCCAGACGTGCCTCCACAGACGCAGCGCCACTAGCGCCGCGAGGCATTCCCATATTTGCTGCCCGTCCGCGGAGCCGCGGACCTGCGAGAACAGCGCTTCGTCCAGTACAGTGAGCGCCGAGGAGAAATGCTCCTTGCAGGTGCCACTGACTATTAAATTTGCCGCCGAGACCCCACGGAGAAGCATCGATAATGATCTCCAGGTCGACGTCCACCCGAAGGAAACAACGTACGTCGAAGTCGCGTCCCACGAAGCCTCCTGACAAGGAAAAGAAAATACGAAACCACCCGAGCGATTTCGATATCTGCTTTACCCATACGCATTCAGGCGGACACCCTGGGGGCGAATCTGCGTGCGGAGCAGCATACAAGGACGTCATAAAAAAGGCCTCCAAACAAGGATCAGGTTCGCGATGTGCGCCAAATTTCCCACGGCCGAGTTGAGGGTCCGCTTCGCCACCACGCTTGCGCCGAGAATGGTCTCCACCATCTGCCGGGCATCCTCGAAGATCTCCTGCGCGATTCGAGCGGTGACGCCAGCGTGGCCCGCCTCGAAGGCAAAATGCCCGCCTATCTACGATATCTGCGTTCCTCTGGATCCTTTGCGCCACGACAGCGGGAAGCCCATGAGCCCCCACAGCAAGACGGCGATGGCCATGACCCTCGCTCTCTGTGGGGGCGTGCCCCACACCGTCAAGCACGGGTCGTCGGTGCAGATCTCAATTCGCAACGTCTTGCGATCAAACAAGCTCTGGGTCATCCTGCCGATCATGGCCGCGATGCGGCCCCAACCGCCAGGTGCGTTGCGGGAGCCTTGGGCGTTCCGCAAATATACGAAATACCTCCCGCGAAGTTTGGCCACGAACCATTTCCGCTCCGACCTCGGCAGCGGCATGTGCTAAGATGCGTCTTGGAAGTCGAGGGCGAAGAACTCCGCCCCCGCGTCGCGGCTCTGCGCCGCCTGCGCAGTGTTAGCCGCTATCACGTCGAGCACGTCGACCGCCACGTCCAGGAGCTTAGGCAACAGCACGCGTTCCAGTTTGGACGCGGCGGCCGAGACGCCGGACACCTGGCTGTCCAAGATGAGGCGTCGCTTGATGCGACCGTTCCGGGTTTTGGTAACTATCCCGAACTTGCTGAGAACGGGCGCCTCGCCATCCAGAAATGCCGCCACCTCGCCAAGCGAGCCGCACTGCCGGAGCCAACCACGCTGCACCAGGGCCATTATATCACTCCATGCTTCGTCGTCCTCCTCAACGGAACGGTAAGCCTGGTGATGACCGTAATCTGTGGCCAGCTCTTCCGGCGCCAGCGCGTTCACGTCCGTGCGAAGAAACATCTGGCAATTTTCCGGGTGGACACGCAATCCTCACGGCACGCCTTAGGTCATCAGCCACTGCGGCACTGCCCAGTCTGGATCGCGCGATTTCCGCTGCCATCCGGCCAGCAAGCCAGCCCTGATACACGTTGAGAAATCTCTATCCATGACTGGGCCCCAATCAACAACGCCAAGAAACTCCCCCAGACGGGCCCGGAGAGGATCTAACACCTCGTCCGCCGGGCCAGCGCTCTCCTCCTCGGCACCGATTGCATCCAGAATGGACTGCTCTAAGCCTGTCGTCTGCGTAAGGAATCCGTCAAGAAGGGTATGCAACGACCTACCCAGGGCGACGACAGCAGGCAGCCTCGCCACCGATTGGCGCGGCCGTCGCATGCCCCCCACTGCTCGCAGATCCCCCGCTGCCTTGACATCGGCGGCCTGCTCGCGAAGCGGGTTGCACATGGTCGGCTTCCTGCGCGTAGCGGCGACGGCTTCGAGGACCACAGCTGGACGCTTCGTGCCCGACAGCGCGCACCTCGACCCGACTGGATCCGCGGGAACCCGGACCAAATTATTACCCCACCAGCCCGAGCGGGCCAAGCGAGCGCGACCTGACGCCCAGCAGGCCCAGGGCACAAGCTGAGTTGCAGGAAAACAGTTTGGATGGGTGCAGCTCGACGGCGGCGTGTCCAGGAACGGGAACGACGCTCGGAACTCCAACGGCCCCAAGGTCGCGCCAAAGGAGCACTGGGGGAATGCGTGCCTAAACACTCCATTACCCCCAACTGCCTCCAGAACGGCTGGCACCCGGAAGAGGCTGGGATGGCTTCTCCCCTCCGGCGGGTTCACAATGACCCACGGGCGCCCAGCCCGGCGCTGCCTGGCAACGCCGTCCCCGCTGCGACACGCAAGGAGAGCTTCTAGTCGTTATCGTTCCTTCTCTGGAGGCGTGAGCCCCGGAATGCCCAGCAGATCAGCGCCGCGAGGCCCGCGAAGGGCACCGCCGCCCGAGCGCGAGTGCGAAGCAAATGTAGACGACGGTGGAGGCCACACGGAGCCGCAATACTTGCCGTTGGGTCCAAGTTCTCCGCAAAGCTGGTTCCAGATGATAGCATCCGCCAGGTCGACGCCGTAGGTGGCGTCCGCCATGAACACAGCAACGTCGAAACCCAGCAAGCCGCCCAGGCAGCGGCACCAGTCCGCGAATCTATCCGCACTCTGATCTGGCCTGGCGAAGCCAACGAAGATATGGACTGCAGGGAACCCATTGGTGGTTACAATATGTGGCCTCCCTGCGCTCCCGAATCGCACATGCAACCATTCGGAAAGGGAAGTGCTTGACGCCGGAGTCCACCCCAGAGGCGCCAACTGGTCAAGCAATGGGCACTGCGATGCTGCCGGGGGCTGACCAGCAGCAGCAAGAACATCAGTGTGTGGAACCACTGTCTCTGCTGACTCTGGTGTTGGCGGTGCAATGAGCGGCGTGGGCGACTGCCGAAACGGCACCGCCTCACCGCACGCTTCACTCGCACCTGCCTCCCCCGAGGGCGCTGGCTGTGCAATCAGCGACGGGGGCGGCTGCCAGAACGGCACCACCTCACCGCGCGCTTCACTCGCACCAACCACCCCCGAGGGCACTGGCCCCTCGGCTGTTCAGCGTCTCTTTCCCTTGCCGCTGCCCTTGCCCTTCAGGTCCTTGGCAAACGGCTGGCGGCAATCCTTCGAGCCGTGCCCCTGCTTGAGGCACCTGTTGCACTGGTGAACCTTCTGGGGGTCCTTGGGGCACTGGAGGCGCTTGCCCTCGCAGCTGCCCTGCTGGTACTCCTTGCAGATGAACTTGCCGTTGCGGTTCTTGATGATGAACCCGTCGCTGTCGACCTGGTGGATGCGTTCCAATGGGTCCCGCTTCTGGCGCTTCGGAGCCGGGTCGAAACGATCGGCTCCGCCACCACGAAGCTGGGGGGGGGGTCGAGAACCAGCGCTGGAGCGGTCAGCTCCAAAGCCGCGGCCGCCCCCGCCCTGACCGCCAGCCCCACGTGACGTGAGGGCGTCGTCGGACAAGCTCTCCTGGATGTTGTTGCCCCCAGTCTTGACGAGCAATGCGGGCTCCTCGAGCTCGCGGCGCCAGAACTTCACGTCGTCCACCAACGCCCTGACGGAGTACTCCCACGGGCGTTCTGGATCAAAGTCTGAAGTGCCTCCATTAGCCACGGCGCGCTTGTGGAGCATCAGCCCCTTCCGCGCCACGCGGGGGAGATTCTCCAATCGAGCGCGCACGTCCGCCTGGTAGATCAAGGGCCACACGATGTCGCCGTAGCGGGTCGCATACTCGACAATGTGCGTCATGTGGTCCGCGGTGGCCGGGGAGAGCTGGTTGAACATCACGGCCGCGGTGCGGAAGACCATCCAGCTCGCCTTCCAGTCGTCGACCGTCGGTGGTCCGTGCAGCGCTTGCTGTTGCAACGCGCCAGACGCACCGATCACAAGTCCCGTCATTTTGAGTTTCTTCTGGATCCTCCTGCCCAACGGGCCGAATATTGCAAAGTCCGCGTAAGGCGGCCCTGGGCTGGCGAACAACGACCGCAGGCCCGTGAGTTGTTCTCGAGTGACGTCCTCCTCGGGGCGCGGCACGTCGCCCATCTTGATGCGGTAGAGCTCGTACGCCTTCTCCACGTCCTCGTCGTCCATGGGCGGGACCTCGCCACAGTGGGCTTGGTCGACCACCGTGGCGAGCTTGATCATCCGGCCCTCGTCCCCATGTTGACTTCCAGGCGCACTATGAGCGCCCCCTGAGCCACCTGCCACCGCAGACACGCCCGCCGACTGCGCACGCAGCGTAGCCAAGTTGACGGCATGCTCTCGCAACTTCCTCTCCTCCTCAGCCGCCTGCTCCCGAGACTTCTCGACGCCTGCAGCTATCCGACAGGCCGTCCCCATCATCTCCACCATAGCCTGCTGCCGGCCGAAGAGACTCACCCACTCGAGCCAAAGTGGCGTACGGATCGTAAGGATATCACCCGAAAGACTCCGAGCCACGGCTCGCCACCCACAGCCCCGACCACGACGCACGTGCAATGTTACGTTCACACATGCTGCACTGTTCTCACTCAAAAATGCACACGTCCGAGCGATGCCAAGGAGTCCCTGAGGTCTCGTGCGCCTGGGACCTCCCCGCGACTCTCGGGACGCCTCGGGGGGGGCATCCTGGAGCTCGATTTGGGGGGCATGCCCACGCCTCGCAGGGGTGCATCGGAGGCGGACGCGCAAGAACGCAGAAAAAGCATGCCCATGTCTCCGTGGGTTGTTCGATAATGTTGGCCTCTCGGGGGCTTTTCCGGGGTTTCTTGGGGGACTCTTGGGGGTCTCTTCGGGCGATCTCGGGTGCTTTTGAAAGCCTCCAGGGCCGTCGGAGCGCCGTCCTGGGCAGTCTTGGAGTACTACTGGGCTGTCTCAGAGGTATCCCGAGGCCGTCCTGGGGCTCCCTGGGAGGCCTGGGAGGGCGTTACCGGGAATTGCTCTAAGTTTTCACGGGGGTGGGGTGCGGAACCCTGGGGGGGGGGCGTATGTATGTATATATATATATATACATACATACATACATACATACATACATACATACATACAAACATACATACATACAGACATACATACATAGACATACATACATACATGCATACATACATAGATAGACATACATACAATGGATTAGAACCACACGCGCGCTTCGCGCGCCCTGGGGTTCTATCCGACTCCGGAGACGGCATTAGCAGGCACAGTACCGACTCCGTGGCGACTCCCCAAATACCCTAAAAACCCGATCACCTTGGCCCGAACACCCGAAACGGAACAGCGGAACCCGAATACCCAAACACCCGCACACCGTGACCCTAACCCCAACTCATACTTGTGTACACCCGAGCCCTAACACCCTAACCCTAAGACTCGAATGCGACCACCCAAGGTATAACACCCTAACCCAAACAACGAACATCAACACCCGAACCAGAAAGCCCTAATCCAACACCCGAACACCCTAACACCCCAACACTCTCAGTCGAAACCGCACAAGCGAACAATCATACTCTAAAACTAACACTCTTACCCCGACGACCCCACCCTTACACCCTAATCCTGACACCGAATACCCGAGCCGTAAAACCCGAACCCAAGCGCCTCAACACCCTGATCCAACATGATCGACCCACGAACCCGAAAAGGAATATAGAAATGTGAGACATGGCAACGCTTCAAAGACACCTGACTGGGCGACGGGCAGAAGCAATGCTTAGTGGATCGATCTTGTTGTACCGTACCCAGGGCTGTGCTGTGCAGCGCTGTGCTGAATTGCGATGTGCCATGCCACGATTGTGCTCTATAGCGTTGTGGACCGAGCCCTCCTTTGCATCCGAGTCCTGACCGAACTGATTAAGCTCGAGCTGCCAGAGCACCTAACTAGTAGCTGCCCCAGAGCTGATTGACAAGGAAAAATGCCAGGACGACGCGACGCGAAACGTCTCAAGGGACGCGCCAGGCGACGTGCCAGGGGACGTGCCATGGGGACGCACCGCGGGACGTGCCAAGGGGACGCGCTACGGAACGTGCCAATGGACGTGCCACGGGACGTGCCAGGGGACACGCCGCGCGACGTGCCAGGTGGACACGCCACGGGACGCGCCACGGAACGTGCAAAGGAACGCGCCTAGTTGCAATGCTGAATGTATCGATCTGATGTACCGTACCCAGGGCTGTGCTGTGCAGCGCTGTGCTGAATTGCGATGTGCCATGCCACGATTGTGCTCTATAGCGTTGTGGACCGAGCCCAACTTTGCATCCGAGTCCTGACCGAACTGATCTAGATGTTAAGCTCGAGCGGCCTCAGCAGATGGTAGCTGCCCCAGAGCTGATTAACAGGGGAACATGCCAGGAGGACGCGCCGCGGAGCGTGCCAATGGACGCGCCAGGCGACGTGCCAGGGGACGTGTCATGGGGACGCACCGCGGGACGTGCCGAGGGGACGC